ACACCCTCCCCCCCAGCGGAGAGAGGTGGAGGCCATCCCTTCCCAGCAGCTCGCTGCCTCTCTCACCGAAGACTTGACTGTGGTCATGGAAGCCAAAGCCTTCCCGATGACACCAGCGCCGCAGTCTTTGGTTCGCTACCTGGATCCTCCTCTCCCTCCTCAGCCCGTAGCCCGAGACTGGGAGGATTGAAGAAAACATCACCTGTGCCCCAGATCCGTTAGCCCCGCACCCAAATCCCTGTAGCGCCTCATGACCCGGCTGGGATTGCTCCGAGCCGTGTCATTGGTGCCCACATGGATGAGGAGCATGGAATAGTGGTCTGTGGGAGCTCAGGGATCTTCTCCGCAATGTCTCGGATGCGGGATCCTGGGAAGCAGCAAACTTCCCGGGCTGAGGGGTCGGGGCGGCAGATTGCCCCCTCCGTCCCCCTCAGGATGGAGTCTCCCATGACAGACTTTGCGTTTTGTCGTGGTGAGAGCAGAGGCGGTAGCTACGGTAGAGCCCATGCTGTCTGCAGGAGCTGGCAGCTTAGCAGGCTCTGCTGGGGCTGCAAGAGGTTCATACTTGTTGGAGAGCTTCAGCGGGACAGGGGCCTTGGGGCCCTTGACCACCTTGGTCCAACCCCTGGCTGGACAGTACGGGAGGTCCCTGAGTCCTCCTTTGTCCTGGAGGGAGACCGTGGTCGACCCTCTGCCTCCCAGGGGAGAAGGGCCTGGCAGTAGGAGTCGATCTCCTGCTTGCAGTCCCTGATGGCACGCAGTCTCTGGACTGCAGCCTGGAGCTCCTCCAGCTGGTGTGCCAGAGACCCCAGTAGGGAGTGGACCCCACAAGGGGAGGTGGCCATGCTCCTGGGCCCCGGGGGGGGCAGACCCCGAGGGGACCCTCGGGGTGCAGCGCGTGCCCATCCGTGGCATGCCGCTAGTAGGCCAGTTGCGGCTGGGACTGTCTACCCTGGGGGGCTCACAGGCAGGGCCTCGGGCCCTCCCACTCGCCCTCCTGCGCAAACTCACGTGCCAACTCGTGTGCCAGGCCCAGGAGCACGCCTGTTTGCATGGCCTGTTCGCACAGCTCCCTGGGGGGGGCTTGTTGGGGGTGCTGGGGGTCTCTCCTGGAGTCCCTGGGCTCACGGGCTTACACCCGTGCATCTCGCACTGGAGCTGAGAAAGGAGTGAGACGTCTGCCTTCAAACCCAGTTTGCCCAGCAGCTACACTGGGCACAAAACCAGATTCGAACGTCTACTGGCTCATAGGACTGCGGAGTAAGAACTGACATTGCCAACATGCTGCAATGACATATTTGGTGGAAACAAACCAAGGCAGATTTGCTCAATCGTGTTTTTCTCATCTAGAATTGGGGCTCAAAAGCCTCCGGTCCAGCAACGACCCCCGCACCAGACAAGGACTCGCTACCCATGAACATTCAAGCTCACCCATGGTGACTCAACCCCTTGCATGCATGGACCAACCAGCTATCCCAGTCGTGATGTTTGTTGGCCAGACAACACAACGTATCCCCAACAAAATTCAGTACCTTGCCATGAACTCACCTTGTGCAGGCGGTCATCACATGTCCCTTTGTTGCCTGCTTCTCGGGTCCCAGCAACATCTCACCCTTCTTCCTTCCCGTTCACACCCAATGCAGATGAGAGAGAAGTTTGGGCCAGCGTTCATGGGGTATGTGGGCTTCCAGCGGGCTGTGCTTCTCCACAGCTAGGATACTATGAAGGAAGCCCTGGTGGGCCACACGGAAGAGTTCGGCAGCCACGGTGCAATGCCCTCACTGGACAGACTCTTGTAGGTAACATTCAGTTTGAGACAAAAGCACCGAGGAACCGATTCTGGTCATATAATCTTCCATCCAGAGGACAATCCATGCCCTTTACTTTTGGCAGACGGTTGGTCACTAGCGGATCTCTAATCTTGGGCGTTACACTGGGCCTTAAAGAAGCATCAGAAATGGCGCTGCAAATGCCTGTACTGGGAATCGTTTCATCTCTCTCACTGGAGAGAGTCCAGCAGAGGGCAAGAAAATAGTTAGGGAGACTGGGGAACATGACTTGTGAGCAGAGGCTGAGAGAACTGGGCTTATTTAGTTTGGAAAAGAAAAGACCGAGCGGGGATTGAATAGCAGCCTTCAACTCCATGAAGGATGGAGCTGGGCTGGTCTCAGTGGGGGGAGATGACAGAACAAGGAGCAATGGGCTCTGTCTGCAGCAAGGGAAGTTGAAGTTGGATATCAGGAAAATCTCTCTCATGACGAGGGTAGTAAGGCACTGGAACAGGCTTCCCAGAGAGGCTGGGGAATTTCCATCCTTGGAGGTTTTGAAGACCCAGCTAGACAAGCCTTGGCTGGGATGATGGAGTTGGGGCTGGACTAGATGTGACCTCCTGAGGCCCCTTCCCGCCCTCGCTGTCTGTGCTTCTGTCACTAGTGGCATCGCCACTATTCTGGTCTGGATGAAGCATTTCAGTTTCGCTTGGGTCTCTCTCTTTCTCTTGAGATGAATCTTGCAAGTTGAATTGCAGATCATCTACACATTTTTCATCCAGTGTCTCTGCTGCGACTATCTCGTTACTAGTGTGCAGGTTCTTGTTAACAGATTTCAAGTATTTTTTTCATTTAAATCACCTGCTTTTTTCATTGCCGTCATTAACTGAGCTTTTCATTTCCTGTTCTGAGCCCCTGACATCCTCCTCTGAGGTACTCACAACATTTTGTTTCCTTCCAAGGAGCATCTGGGCTCTGGCCCTGCTCCTGCCACTCTCACCGCCATCCAACCGCCCCCTTCCCCACCCCCCAGCGGTTAATGCCTGAGCTCCAACACACCCACCCAGCTCCCAGCTCTGCCTGCAGAGCTGCCCCACACCACCCGCACCCCCCTGACTAGTGTAACCTGGGTGGGCACCCACACCACGCACCCCTAAGGCCAGCTCTGACTCAACCTCACATGTGTGGCCCAACCAGGTATCCCAGCCATGAGATTTATTGGCCAGAAAACACAGTGCATCCCCACCAAAATTCAGTACCCTACCATGAACTCACCTTGCTTAGGCTGTCGCCACACATCCCTTTGTTGCCTGACTCCCGGGTCACTGCAACATCTGACCCTTCTTCGTTCCCATTCGCACCCAATGCAGGTGAAAGAGAAGTTTGGGCCAGTGTTCACGTTGTATATGCGCTTCCAGCGGTTTGTGGTTCTCAGCAGCTACGATGCCGTGAAGGAAGCCCTGGTGGACCACGCGGTAGAGTTTGGCAGCCGAGGTGCAATGTACTCATTGGAGAGATTGTTCAAAGGTCATGGTGAGTGACAGCAAGGACTGGGTTCTGACGTGGTTTTCGCTCAGAGCAAATCTAGGGGCCATAACACTATTAACAATCTCTTCCACATGCAGATGCTTGAGCTGGGGTCACACAACACATGCCCTTCCTATTCAGCCAAGGAACAGGCTGTGGAGATCAACAGCTCCATCCCACATTTAGCGAGCAGACTTTCAGGGAGGTTTTGCTGCAATATTTGCTACCTGCACATTTCTTTACACCATCGTTGACTGTTCTGGACATCACATCACCTGCTTCCTGCTCCATTGTCTGTCTTCCCCCCATGCAGGTGTGATCCTGGTTAATGGTGAACGGTGGAAACAGCTCCGGCGATTCTCCAGCTCAACCCTGAAGAATTTCGGCATGGGGAAAAGAAGCATCGAGGAGCAGATCCAGGTGGAAGCCCAGCACCTGGTAGAGGCGATCAGGGAAAAAAAAGGTTTTCAGATCTAGTGCTTCTACACAAACTGCTTTCCAGATCGCTCTGCAGATCGACTCCAGTGGCCTGCTCCACTTCGGGTTAAGGCACATCAGAAACATAACTGCTCAGGCACCGGTTTGCAAAGTTGCTCCACTCCTATCTGAGGGCCTCAAGAAAGACATCTCATAAACCCTCGGGACCCAGCAGCTCCCATCACCTCAGGGCCGGACAGGCCTCGGGAGGGCACTGTTTACAAGGCAGGGAGATCTGGACTGGGTGGCCAGTGCTACTGGGCCCGCTTTCTCCATGGACTTCATGCCCATCCCATGCTTTAGCTAATTTATAACAGCAGCAGACGCCATCCCTCTCAGAGGGCACACCTCTGGCTGCCTGCCCCGACACTGGCTGCAGCACAGGCATGCCAACGGGCAGGACAGGGCTCTAGCCCAGCTCGCTGCCCTCGAGCATCCCTGGCTGTTTTGCAGCCTATGGCTGCAGCAGAAATCAAGCCAGCTAATACAAAGTGAACCTGGGGGCATCTGCATATAAGGGGTCCCAACCCTCTGCTTAGGTCCAGCCCTGTGTTAACACCACACCCCACGCTGTCAGGACCCTCCACAAGCAGCAGGGCCCAGAACTGGTCCTCATCTCCCACCTCTTCTCTCCCACCAGGCTCTCCCTTCAACCCTGCCCTCCTCACTACTCATGCTGTATCCAACATCACCTGCTCCATCGTCTTTGGGAACCGCTTCGACTACGAGGACGAGAACTTCCTGAACTTGATGGGCAGCATGAACAACTTTTTTCTAGAAATGAGCAACCAATGGAACATGGTAGGAGATTTGTCTGGGTCAGGAGGAAGGCAGGAGCCTTGGTAGCGTGCTCCCATCTCTGCTCGTTGAGTAAAAAGGCCGCAATGCAGCAAACCCCAAACCCCCTCATCAGCTGGGGCCAAGGTGCAGAGCACCCATCACCTCCATTGGTTTGGAAGCTCCTCCCTTCCATCATGGGGCCAGGAGAGCATCTGCTTTCCTAAACCATGCCTTCACAGGGGGGTCTCAACCTGCTCCCTCCAAAGCCAAAGGTTATAGGATAAAAGCCCTAGCTGGAACAGACTTTCCACCCCTCTGAACCGTCCCCCCTCTGATCTGCCCGCAGCTCTACGAGATCTGTCCAAGGATCCTGCAATTCCTACCTGGGCCACACAAGCGGGTGCCGCGCATCTACAAGACACTACACGAGTTTATCCTGGAGAGGGTGAGGATAAACCAGCAGAGCCTGGACCCCAGCTGCCCTCGGGACTACATCGACTCCTTCCTCATCAGGATGGAACAGGTAAGCGGGGGCAGTCGTCACTGGCGCCACGGGCTATACAGAGGGTCCACAGGCTCTTCAGCCACGACTGAGCTGTGAGGCCGTGGACAGGAAAGTGCAAAGCTAGAGCCAACCATGCAACCGGGCCCAAAGCCTCCCCTTCAGAACGTCATCCAGGGCTTGGGGAACAGAGGACTTCTCCAGGCAGAGCCCAAATCCCATTTCATTTGTAATGCTATGCTGCCATTATTCACTACAAGCTCTTCTCACCCCTTTTGTCCAAGGAAAAGCAAAACCCACTGAGCGAATTCCACACCACAAGCCTGGTGGAAAATGTGATACAATTATTTATTGCTGGGACAGAAACGACTTCCTCCACCTTGAGATACGGATTCCTGCTCTTGGCCAAATACCCGGAGGTGCAAGGTAACGGGGACACGAGACTGCAGCTAACAGGCCTATGGGGGACACGACAGAGAAGGGGGCTGGGGAGATCAACCGAAACCCTTTTATAGAAAGTGGCCCCAAGTTTGATAAGCAGCCAGTCACACCTGGGAGTTTGCAAAGGTTGAGCCAACGGCAAGGACTGGAAATGCAGGTCAGGTGCCCCTACCATCCTCTTTCCC